TGAATGAAAAGAACAGACAGTAAACTTAGAGTCCTCCATTTCTAGAGAAACGATGAGATTCATTTGTGAAAGCAATACTATCAATGCCCAAGATGTGTGTCTAGACACTGAACAGAGTATTTGCCACTTTGAAATTCATCCAGTCACTGACCAGAAAACTGTGCTCGTGTATACTGGAAAAGGGGGGGTGTATGCCTGAGAACTGCCTGTGCTGCTGTAAAAATTGATAGCAATGATGTTATTTTGTCTAGTAGAAATCATTCTAATTTCTGTGTTTGTAATTTTATTAAGATTATCAGGTATGATTTTTTGTACTCAGCCCCAGTGACATCCCACCAGCTGGTTAAAACCAATTATACAATGTATCACAGATTATCACCTACCTCTATTGGGATGGACCTTACATTGGTAAAACAATTAATTAAGCACCAAGACCTACTGGAAATCTTGAAAGAAATCCAAGAAAGTAGAAAGAAAACCTTAATTACTGTCCAACATGATACAAAAGAAATAACTAGAATTCTGCAAAGAATAGAACAAAATGCAGATCATCACTGGTGGGATGTGGTCTTTAGGTAGTCACCAACTACAAATAGAATCCTTAATAAGTTGTGTCATCCTACTGTTGTTTTGTTAATATTAGTTAGAATAAGTTCAGGATTATCCATTATCAAACGTACATGGTAAAGCACTAATGTACACTTGTTGTCATAAGAATTTGTATGAAGTAAAAGAATTTACTTCCTCCTTTTAGGAAAGGGGGAAATGAAGCAAAGTGAAAATTTTGCAAGATAGAAATCCATTTTAATTCAGGTGAAATGTACATTTTTGAGTTGAGCCTGTGGTTAGAAATCGTAGTTATTTAGCCAGGCTGCAAGGCCTAAGCTCAGTGAAGTTACTTCAGCGAAGGACAGAGATAAAGGGGAGGAGACAGAAGATGATAGAGAGAGACAGGGACTGCTGTAAGGGCAAGTCAGCCTGACCTCGGAATTCTTTCTGATAAAAAGGAACTAGTGGTAAAAGTCACAAGAGACCCATAAAAATGAATATGTATGAATCTATTGTGAAACTGTATGCATATGTATTTGAGAGGGAGATAAAAAGAGCCCTGAAGTTCTCAGAGGTACGCATGCCTTTTTGAGGAGAGTTTTTTCCGCATGTGTCCGGCGCCGTAAATAAACATACCGAGCTTTACAACTTTTATAAAGTTGTGAGGTTTCTTCTTTTCTCCGCAAAACAGGGGCTTTGCAAGGCGGTATGCCTTCCCCTACAATGATACCTGGCTCCTGGGACATCCTGATTGTGGACCTAAAAGATTGCTTTTTCACTATTCTACTGCACCCAAACGATACCTCAAAGTTTGCCTTTACGGTGCCCTCCATTAATAACGCTGCACCAGCGCAGTGTTATCGATGGCGTGTACTTCCATAAGGAAGGCGCAACAGTCCCAGTATCTGTCAGTGGTGTGTTGCACAAGCACTCTCATCCATGAGAGAACTATTTCCAGGGGCATACTGTTATCATTACATGGATGACATTTTGGTTGCATCCCAAACAAAATGGGAACTCTTACAGATTCAGCCAAACCTGCTGCCAGCACTGAAATCATTTGGGCTACAGATGGCGCCAGAGAAAGTGCAATAACAAGCATCCTGGAAATATTTGGGACATAAAATTATGAACAAAACAATACAGCCACAGCCAATTCAATTTTCAACCAAGATTGAGAATTTAAATGATGCACAGAAACCTTTGGGTACTATAAACCGGGTCAGACCATATCTGGGAGTAAATAGTTCACAATTAGCACTCTTATTTGACCTCCTGAAAGGGGATCCCGAATTAACTTCCCCCGGAAAACTAACCCTAGACGCAAAAGCTGCTCTCGAAACAGTAGAGCAAGCTATCACAAACAGACAGGTCCACCGGATATGCCCAGAGGTATGTATCACCATATTCTTTATCTTTGCTGACTCTCATATTACGGGCATTATTGGACAGTGGAACACACAATGGCCTGACCCTTTGCACATCCTACAGTGGGTATTCTTACCTCACCGATCAAAAAAGTCGGCACCTACTGTGTCTGAGCTAACTGCACAGCTAATCATTAAATGCCGTCACAGGTGTCTGCAAGTGAATGCAAAAGACCCTGCACAAATTATTATTCCCATAAAACAAGAGGAATTCAAGTGGAGTCTTGCTAACTGCACAGCCTTGCAATGAACCCTTCAAAACTTTACTGGACAAATCACTTACCACTTACCAAGCCATAAATCACTAAAGCTAAGTGATGAAACTACACTCTAAAACCCCTAAATAGCTGAACACCCCTAAAGGGTGTTACAGTGTTAACTGATGGCTCTGGGAAAACAGGAAAGGCCATTGTGACATAGATAGAGGAGAGTGAGTGGCAAACATTGGAGGGACACAAGAATGGATCACCTCAAATAGTAGAGCTATGGGCTGTAGCTATGGCTTTTCCATGTTTTCCCCACTCTCCCCTAAATGTCATAACTGATTCTGTATATGTGGCTGACATTGCACAAAGGTTAGACTGAACACTACTAAAAGAGATTGATAATGAGCAACTGTTTAAATTGCTAAAATTTCTATGTCTAACCATCCAGGCCAGGACTTACCTGTACTACATCCTACACATCAGGAGCCACACAAATTTACCAGATTTTATCACAGAGGGCAATGCCAGGGCAGATATGCTAGCTATCTCTGCTTGGACAGCACCAAAACCAGATTTGCTGGCACAAGCAAAGGCATCACACAGTTTTTTCCACCAAGGTGCTTGAGCATTACAGTGGCAATTTCAGCTGTCAAACACAGAGGCTCATAATATTGTTAGCATCTGTGTTGACTGTCAAGGTCACGCTGCACCATTGCAGATGGGAGTGAACCCCCATGGACTGCATGCTTTGCAAATCTGTCAAACTGATGTCACACACATCCCTGAATCTGGCCATTTTAAATACACCCATGTCTCAATTGACACCTTTTCCTCAGCAACATGGGCTACAGTACACACAGGGGAAAGAGGACAGGATGCCATCGCACACTGGCGATCAGCTTGTGCATCCTTGGGCATTCCCCAAACCATCAAAACTGATAATGGCCCTGCATACATCTCACAGAAAACCAGGCAATTTCTACAGCTCTGGGGTGTATCAAACCAAACCCATATCCCTCATTTACCAACTGGACAAGCCATGGTGGAAAGGGCACATGGTGCCTTAAAAGGTATACTTAATAAACAGAAGGGAGGTATGTGTGGTGAGACTCCACAAAACAGAATAACTAAAGATATATACACATTGAATCACCTAAAAGTATTAGAATCCAGCTATCCTAAATCACTTCTTATCACTACAATCATCCTGCAATGTTCAATTGCCCAAACCCAAGGTAATGGTACACGACCTCCTTACCAATACATAGAAGGGTCCTTGGGATCTCATTACCTGGGGTCGGGGATATGTATGTGTTCCAACAGACCGTGAGACATGTTGGGTACCTGCCAGATGCATCCGACCTGCACTGTGTCCTGCTCAGGACCACAGACAGCACCCTCCTGATAAACCCTCAGCAGACATCACAGAGCCGTGTGATCAGAGTTATTGATGACTACCTCATGGAAATCTGGGACTACAGTTCACATAAAGACTCAATCTGTTTACAAATTATTTCTCTGTTTACAAACTGTTTTCCTTGTCTACAGATTGTTTCCTAGTTTTCCAGTTGGGTTTGTTTTTGGTTTTTTTTCTTTAATAAGGGTTGAATGATTCTTGTTCTTACAGACTGTTTCATTTTCTTCATTGGTTAAATGGTTTGCTGCTTTTAAAAAAAAGTTGCAATCTGTAACCTATAAGCCTAATGCCTGTGGCATATTTACCTGAGCTCTCCCCTATCGGGTCCTGGACATAAATGCTGCAGCTATAATGCAAATCGAAATTTATAGAAAACAAAGGGTGAGATGTTGGTGCCATGTTTCCAGCCCCTGGACTGAGTGACAAGGGTTTTGGCCAATCAGATCTCTCATAAGACTACAGGCATTTCAGTGGTCCAGGACCCGAAGGGGTGTGGAGTTCAAACCAATGAGAGCACCCTTCCTGGGTCCTTCAAATCCTCTATATAAGGGAATGCATGGAAAATAAAGGTCTCTGTGCCACATGAACATCTGGGGAGAGCGGTCTCTGTCTTCTTGCCCCTCACCCCCCTAAGCATGACCTAACATAGAACAGCCCGCGTGAGAGGCTGATAAAGCAGAAGCAAAATGTATGGTAATTAGAGAGCGTTTGAGCCAATCTCAGCAGACCTAATTAAAACACTAGTAGCTCTCTAGCTGCCTAAACTGTATCATATCAGCAAGGTATTTTAAAGTTTTTCTTGACTCAATCACGTATAAAGGATTGTGCTAGATAAGGACCCTCAGGCTACTATGCAGATAAATCTCCAGATTTTTGTTATGTGTATAGCCATGTTCCATTGACTTAACCATCCTTTTTTTTTTACCAGATGAAAAATTTTACCAGACCTCTGTAGTATATTACTCAGAGCATCTGAATTTCTTGGAGATGACATTTAGACAATGCTCAGGGTCCAATGTTAAATTGCATTGCTATTTTAAACAAGGAAAACAGATGTTCAAGGGTGTTGCAATTTTTGTGATTTGCATAGAAGTCTACCTTTGATTGCACTTTCCTAGTAATAATGTAAGATTTCAAATTATCATACACTTATGTTTTGAGAAACACACACATAATACTAAACTAGATTCACTACCTTCCTTACAGTAGTCTTTACATTCACATAATTAAGTGCAGGTTTGTGCTGAATATGCATGCACACGCAGATCCTTGCACACACACATAAAGAAACTGTATGTGTAAGTACATAAAAATATAGTATACAAAGATAAAAAGTATGAATTAATTTGATAGAAAGAACAGAAAATAAGATACAGTTATTTGTAGCCACTATATACTTACTATTTTGTTGAATCTGATAACTGATATTCTCGTCGTCTATCATAACATTCCTGGATTCCAGGGTCATTCCATAAACTTCTCAGTGCATCTACATAGGGGTTCTCAAAAGTTGAAACCTTCTCTACATCGACTTCTCGAACTAACTGTGCATGAGCCTAATTTGAAACAAAGAAAACAATTTAATTTATTTCATTTTCTGTGTTTACAAATAGTTCATTTTCTCAGGTTGAAAGGTGTAGCTGAGTGTGTATTCTATTGCCATCTGTTAGAGGTGGGGCAGTTATCTTCTGTTGATTAGACAGTTTTCTTTATCTCTTCCACTACCCATCCTCCCTCAGAGGAGATATCTTCTGTTAATGGGCCATTGAGTCTCACTGCATGACTGATAAAATTACATCATCCTCTTGTGAGATGCTCTGCCCAGAGGGAGGAGACAAGCATTCCTACCTAGATATAATCTGAGATTTGGAACACCACAGTCAGCCTTCTCCCACTGGATTCCCAGAGGAGCAGCTTTCTTCTCCACTGGATTCCCAGAGGAAGACCAGGCCTATCTATACCACCACTGGACCTTCAGAGGAAAACTATACCCTTCTACAAGATCAGTGCTTCAACAGAACCAAATTTGTCACTCCAGGAGGACTGCAGCCGCCATTTAATCAGACTGCTGCCAACACCCTGACCCACAGGGTGTCAGGTTGTATTCTGATTCTTTCACTGTTGTTTTGTATTACTGCATTTTTATTTTTATTTTTTCCTAATGAAGAACTGTTATTCCTACTCCCATATCTTTCCCTGAAAGGCCCTTAATTTCAAAATTATAATAATTTGGAGGGAGGGGGTTTACATTTTCCATTTTAAGGACGTGTCTTGCCTGCCTTAGCAAACCAAGACAAATTTTGGCGCCCAATGTGAGGCTCGAGGGTATAGAGAGAAAAAGGGTGAAAAAGAAATAGCAGTTCTTGAGTAACCTAATTTTTTGTGTGCTGGATACAGAAAACTTGTTAAGTGTCACCATGTGGTCTAGCTCACCCTGGTTCGGGTGGCATGTGGTCATGGCTAAATTTCTCCCATTTGAATGCCCTTATCTAAACATGGTTCCTATAACTAAGGCTACTGTGGCTGTTATTCAGTTTGCTTTATGGGTTAATAGGGGGAGGAATTCATGGATATTTAACTTCCTCTGGAAGGCAGGCACATGGAGTCAGAGCTATCACACACTAACTGTATGTTTTTGGGGTTACTTTAATAATGGTACCTACTGTGAGGAAATGACACACGGGGGAAATTTTCTCCCAACCCTTTAACCATCTCTTTGGGTCTGCCCCACCAGTTTTTGATGGGTTCAAATCTTCTCTAAATGCTAATGACATCATACAGTGGTTGATGTTGCTGATACGCCTGTTAAGCCTGTTCTATTTAGCATTCAGAGATAAGGGAAGATTGACTTGCATAACCACCCTGACACCTATCCCAGAAAGTAGGGATGCTGCCACAGAACCTGACACTGCCCTGGGGACTAGGGATGCTGCCCCAGAGCCTGACCATGCCCCACAGCCCACCTCAGAAATAAACCACCCAGATTGGGTGGGAGTTCTGGTAAAGGAGATACGTGAGATGAGCCAGATGCTGAAAGAGTACATTTCTCCAGCTGGTGAGAAACCCTCCTCCTGCCTCAAAGAGGGAGAGTTTAAGGGTGCAGCAGTGGAACCCAAGGATGTTACAACTGTCCACGTTCCAGCTGAACTGCAAGGGCAGTCACAGCCAGCAACAGTCGCCCCTGTGGAAATGAGGAAGTCTTAGACGAAAACAAAACAGCCAGATAAGGATAAGAATGGAGCGTCTTCACAACCTGCAGGGGAGCCAACAGTTGAGATTATCACAAAGTCCCTGACATATGAAAGTCTCTGTAATCTGCACAAAGACATACGACAGGGACATCAGGCTTATATAACCTGGTAATTTTGGGTCTGAGACCTTATGGGTACAGGTGTGCAACAAGATAGTGGTGAGGCAAGGAATGTGGGACCCTTGACCCAGGACTCAGGTGTGAATCAGGTATTCATAAGGGAGCCAGGGTCCCCTTTCCCTCTGGGAGCGGCTTTTAATGAGCATCAGAGAGAGGTTTGTCCACAGGGAGAGAATGCAAGGGCACCATCATAAATTGCGCTAGAAGACCCTTGAGGAAGGGATCCAACAGCTGAGAGAAGCAGCAGTATTGGAGGTACTCTTTGGGAGGGATGGACAGCATGATAATGACCCTGACAAAGCCAGGTGCACAGGGCAACTGTTGTAGACTGGTAAATCTAGGACCATCTCTATACACCACCTTCATTGCAACTATTAATGCCAATAACAACCGAGACAGTAGGTTCTGTCACCAACAAGCTTAGAAATTATGAGAGTATGATCAATGGCCTGATGCAGGCCCATGTCTCTGCTGTAATTAGAAGCCTCCAAGAGGAGATGAGGGAGGAGGTGAGGAAGAACAGTTCCTATATGGCACCAGTGAAAGTCACAGGCAGCAAAATCAGAGCTCAACGTCCCCCCGATAGAGAAATATGGTACACCCTCCGAGCTGACCTGTGGTTCTTCCTGGGTGACCATGGGGAAGACATGGGATGTGAAACCTGTAAGAGTGATCTCTGGGGCCTTTTCGGGGGTCCGATCCAGCTAGCTCTGGACCTTGGCCCCTTGCAGTCTTGCAAGGACAAAATAAAAATACTCGAGGCACTCTTTCCTCTCGGGACCAGAGTCCCACTTTATTCTGGATAGAAGCCGCCTGGGAATCAAGGCGGTGTTCCTGGGGGGAAAGAGGCTGGAATGTCTGATGGCAGGAGATTTTAAATCCAGCGAAAGGGGGGGCAGAGGAGAGGGGCCACAGCCAATGTGATACAAGTGAGGGGAGGGGTGAGGGGAGGAGTAACATGGGGAGAGACCACCACTACTGGGGCTTAGGGGAGAGGGGAAGACCATGGGATATGAGGGGGGAAACCCATGAGGATACAAACATACTATTCAGTGCAAAATACCAAACCCAGTGCAAAACAACAACTAAATAAACTATTTAGTGCAATACAACAGAAACCTACTTCTGTCCTGGCAGAATGGGTGTGTCAACACAAGGAGGTAAACACTAATTGAGGGAGTTCCACTAAAGTGAAAGCAGCCTCAGCCTCTCATGACTGAGCTGCTGGGTATGATCTGTCAGATCCCCTTGAAGGTACCTCTAGCATGTATGCCCAGGAAAGGAATGATAACCAGGGCTAGAGGGGCCCTGCCTCTAGCCAGGAAGACGCACGGGAAAACTGGATCTTCTGGACAGTGTGGATCCAATGGCCTGGCACATCAGAGCCACAAAAATTTGAAACGTTAGTTGATACTAGTGCTCAATGTACCCTAATGCCATCGGGACATGTGGGGGCAGAACCTGTTTCCATTGCTGGGGTAATGGGGGGGGTCACAGCAATTGACCCTGTTGGAAGCCAAGGGGAGCCTGACTGGGAAGAAGTGGCAGAAACATCCTATTGTGACCAGCCCAGAGGGCCCGTGTATTCTAGGCAAAGACTTTCTTGAGAATAACTATTACAAAGACCCAAAGAGACTCAGGTGGGCTTTTGAAATAGCTGCTGTAGAGGCAGAGGACATTAGGCAATTGAACATCTTGCCTGGACTATCAGAAAAACCATCTGCAGTAGGACTCCTGAGGGTGGAAAAGCAACGAGTACCAATTGCCACCTCGATGATGCACCACAGGCAGTATCAGATGAATCAAGATGCTGTGATCTCCATCCATAAGATGATCTGTGAGCTGGAGAGCCAAGGGGCGCTCAGCAAAACCCATTCACCCTTTCAACAGCCCCATTTGGCCTGTGCGCAAGTCTGACAGAAAATGGAGACTGACGGTGGACTATTGTAGCTTGAATGAAGTGACTCCATCACTGAGCGCTGCTGTGCCGCACATGCCGGAACTCCAGTACGAGCTGGAGACTAGGCAGCGAGGTGGTATGCCACTATTGACATTGCCAATGCATTTTTCTCCATTCCTCTGGCAGCAGAGTGCAGGCTTTAGTTTGCCTTCACCTGGAGGGCAGTGCAGTACACCTGGAACCGACTGCCCCAGGGGTGGAAACACAGCCCCACCACCTGCCATGGACTGATCTGAGCTGCACTAGAAAAGAGTGAAGCTCCAGAACATCTCCAGTACATTGATGACATCATTGTGTGTGGGAACACGGCAATGGAAGCATTTGAGAGAGAGCATCATCCATATTCTGCTGAAAGCTGGCTTCGCCATCAAGAGCAACTTCAAAGGACCTGCCTGAGAGATCCAATTCCTAGGAGTAAAGTGGCAAGATGGACAGCGTCAGATTCCCACTGATGTCATCAATAAGATCACTGTGATGTCTCCACTGACCAGCAAGAAGGAAACACAAGCTTTCCTAGGCGCCATGTTTTTGGAGAATGCACATTCCTGAGTACAGTCAAATTGTGAGCCCTCTCTACCTGGTTACCTGCAAGAAGAACAATTTCCACTGGGTCTCTGAACAGCAACAAGCCTTCGCCCAGATCGAGCAGGAGATCATTCAGCCAGTAGCCCTTGTCCTAGTCAGGACGGGACGAGAGGTGAAGAATGTGCTTTACTCTGCCGCCAGGAAAAATGGCTTGTCCTGGAGCCTGTAGCAGAAGGTGCCTAGAGAGACTCGAGGTTGACCACTGGGATTTTGGAGTCAAAGCTACAGAGGATCTGAAGCCAACTACACTATAACAGTGAAGGAAATCTTGGCCCCCTATGAAGGAGTTCAAGCTGCCTCAGAAGTTGTTAGCATTCAAAAACACATAATCACGGAGCGATTATATGCGGTGCTTTTTATTAAGAGCTCTGGGAATCGGGGTATATTCAACCCAAATCTGACTCCGACCATACATCCGAAATGATCATGTTTTATACTCTATTGTTACATAACTTTCATGTTAATTATTAAACTTATATTGTTCTATTGTATACATAAATTTAGCCCCTCTCTGAATTTCCAACATAGTTTCTCACTATTCTTCTTATGGTTATATAATAATTACATTTAATTACTAAACAATCATCACATGTAACAATTATATAATTTATCATACTGCTTACGCAGGTGCAGTTGATCTG